TGAAGCAAACAATGTTTTCATTTTCAATATGTATATATATCTTTAAAATATTAAATTATACTGATATCTAATTAATATATTATCATAAATATAAGTTTCATGTACCAAGTTATTGAGTTATAAGTATATATATAACCTTGATTGTAAAAGTGAAATTTTATGAAAATTTAACAAAAATAAAACAATAACAAAATGATTGTATTTCTCTACATATATACATATATTAAGAAATATTTTATTATTTAAAATAAAATTCATTTAAAAAATTTATATTAATTCTAAATTATTTGATACCCATATATATATATATATATATTAAGAAATATTTTACATATAAATAGAGTATCAAGTAATTTAGAATTAATATAAATTTTTGTAAGCATATCTTTCAATTTATTGGTGAATTTTAAAAGTATTTTTCTTAATAAAAATATAAAATAATATAATAGTTAGTGTAAATTAAATGAAAGTAATTTCATTCTTTTCATGCTATGTATACAAGAAAGAATCAAATTTTGAGCATAATTGAAGATAAAACTATCCTAGCCACAACGTAGAAAATTATTAGATTTCATATAGATCCCAACATCCAAATTATTGGTAATAGCAACAATATTTTGGATAATGCTTTGAATTTATTTATGTTTGGCCAAAACAAAAAGGGAAACTGAGTAGAGATTGAGTAATATAAGTTTGATATCTTAACCTTATTCTATCTCAAATTATTTAATTTCAGTTTGTTTGATTCTGTCACTGCTGAGATGCTATATATCAAGGGAAGAAGATTAAGTTAATAAAATCTTGCATCATGCTGCTTGAATATTAAGCTGCGTGCCTTCGATGTCCTTCTATGTGGCATCTATATCTCCTGTTACAACAAGTTCTTTTCATTTCATTAAAAAAAATCTCATTAAATTGACCAACATCCACACATGCATGTAAATACGAAATTCAGCATATCTTCCTTTCATAGGTCATTCTTCAAAATGGACATGAGGAGAAAGAGTTAAAATGTTAACCACTAATCAAGGGTTATAATATTATCAATAGATGGAGATGTTATATTGATTAATGACATATATAACCAAATTATAAATGTTTATAATGTAAATCTCAAATTACTAATTAAAATACCCAATTATGATAATCTCACTTTAAATATGAAAGAGAATTACCAACTGATATTTTTAATGTTAGAATGGATCACTAATCCTTGTTGTTTAAGAGATTGTGCTGTGGGAATGGATTCCTAATAAAACAAGTTCTTTAAAAAAAATAGTAAATATCAGTTTCAGCATCTTGTGGGTGTTTTTGTCAGTATCCATTGATCCTCATGCACATTTTCTACTACACAAATATATATTTATACCTAAGTTCCTTGTATCCTCCGAGACTGGTCGAATATTACAAAGTGCCAGTTGCATAGACATAGAAATCATCACCATGGGAAGGAAAATAAGCCAAGCATCACCGAAAATATCTAAGGATGATCCTCAAAAACATCAATTCAAGAGTTTGATTAAGGTTTTGCGGCCAAAGGTCTACATCACCGACAGCTCAAGCTTCAAGAAGTTAGTTCAAGAGCTAACTGGCAATGGAAGTCCCACCACTTTGTCTCCTCCTCCTCCTCCTTTGGAACCAAACATCATGGTTCAAAATTGCCCATTTGTTGGAACTGAATCTCATAGGGATCCTGAAACTAGTTCTGATGATGTCTCAGTTTCTCCTGATGCAAACTCACCAGAGTGGTGCTATGATGCATTGATGAATGAAGAGTTTAACCAAGTTTGCAATGAGTTATCCTTAGATGACCTAGCCTTCCAGGAATCAGTCGCCAACATAGACCATTTGTTGGCATATCAGAATTTCGAGTCACTACTTTTTGATTATGAACAAATGGAGCAGCCAGATGTCAGCATATATGATTATGAGTTGTCAGGACTACTATAGAAACATGTCTGTCTTTCCTGGAAGATCATGCACGATGTTGTTTCTCGAGTTACTTTTGTAGTTCTTGTTTTGTATCATATGAATGTATAAGTATTCTTTTTGTACACACAGCAAGTAAGTTTTTTTTTTTTTTTTTTTTTTTTTTTTTTTTTTTTTTTTTTTTTTTTTTTTTTTTTTTTTTTTTTTTTTTTTTTTTTTTTTATGCATAATGATTTTGCTTTGAGTTTGTTTCCATGGATTAATCTTCAATGAGGGTAAATATTTATGTTTTGTATTGATTTGCCTGCATGCTTGGGGTTAACCTAATAATTACTTCTGCAGTTTTCTTCAACATAATTTGAAGTTTACAGACTAAACGATATAAAAAACATAAATCATATTTTCTTCTAATCTCTTCCGTGTTGCATGTTATGGAAACTTCACTAACAAAACAAGGAGAGTTTTTACAAACTATATTTAAAAAAAGTTTTTCATAGATTTCCTATCAAAATAATTTGCATCTAAATATGTATCATTAGATCCTACATATGCAAAAACTGCCAAAAGATTTTATTACACAATTTAACCTACTTCTTCCTCTATATTTCACTTGTTTTCACACTTATAAGCTAAACTACAAGAATGTGATACATTAGCTTAAAAAAAATCAAGGGCCAAATATGGAATACAAAGAGTCAGGTCTAAGGACCTCTAAACCAATCAATAGTGCAAAATAAGATTTTTATAATGATATTTTATATCGATCTAAAGCCATCAAGTATATAAAGTGATACAATGACAATATCATAAATATGAGAAGTTTTTTTATAATAGTTGGATCCATAATCAATATATAAAGTGACACAGTGACAAAATTGTAATAAATTACAATTTTTTTTATACCGGTTGCATCCAAAATCAATATAAACACTAGAACAAAATTTGACGTGTGTTATTTTTTACCTTTAACATTTGAAAAAAAACTAACATCATAAAACAACCATTTTCTGATGTTAAAGACGTTGATTAACCTGGAAAACAAAAATAGACGTTGATTGACGTCACAAATGATCATTTGCTGATGTTAATTGACGTTGGAAATGATCAGAAATGACTATTTTCCTACATTAATTGGCTTCATAAAATGACCATTTTCTAATGTCTCTCCTCCTTTTGTTTTTTTTTAATAAATAATGATCCATTTTTACGGTTTTACTAAACCTAAAAAATAAAAAATCAGTAAATTTTATATATCTAGAACTCATTTTCAAATTTGTATGTACTATAAGGTATAAACTAAAGCTATCAAAAGTGAATGATGTTATAGTGGATAATTGACTATTTGTTTGTGATTTTTGGTTTTGATAACTATAATTATTATTTTTGGTTGAATTTTTTTTAAAACTCCTTGTAATCTTTATTTCAAGAAAAAAAAACCCAGGATCACTTACTTTGGGTCCGTCTGAAGTTTAAAAATTATTTGAAAAGTTAGTTGTTGTAGATCTTTAAACTACCATAATTTTTTCAAAAGTTGACAGATTTGGCATTATTATATATTGTTCCTTCTAGATTTTCGAAAAGGTCATTTTTTATTTTTCGTCAATTTAATTTCATCAAAAAGGTCAATTTTCAAAAACGGTCCTTCTACTTTGCAAAAATATTTCACAAACTTAGACTTTGAATTTTGATCTAAATTTTTTTGTTGGGTTTCTCATGACTTTTTGGTACTTTGACAAATTTTCAGGTCATTTGGAGTTCTTTTGAATATACTCTCAGTTTTAACTTAAGTTTAGATGTATACGATGTATGAACAACAAACAAGTTCAACAATATCAATCTTAACAATACCAACAAGTTCAACCAATTTATAGTCCATAACAAATGAAAATGAAAACGAAAGAGAAAGTTCATCAAAAACCCAAAACGAAACTAACATTCTTGAAGGTAGGTTCGCCGCTAGAATAAAGTGTTGTTGCCAGTGAGGAAGAAACAAGAATGCGAAAAAGGCCTTTAACGTTTGTTATTTTGGACATTCAACATGCAACCCTGCCCCAACGTCTTAATGGGAGATGTCAATTTCATGTCGGACTCCACATGAGACGTCAATTTGATGTCGTAATTCATGTCGGTTGCTAGGTGGACCAATGTTGGCTCGCGCTAAGAGCACATCTGTCTTACTCAGCGAGAAACCTAGTTGAGCCACTAGAAGTAATAAGTTGTTAGATGTGCCTTATCAGACATCATTAGACGTCGATTTTGACATTAACCGACATCCAATTTGTTTTCTTTTTTTAAATAAATTTGTTTTCACAATAATACCACATCTGAAATACAAAAAATCATCCCAGCACATCCCAAAATTATATATACTATGCGTTTCAAGTGATTATAATACTAAAGCACACTAGTGCACTAAAGGGAAACGACAATGGTTATTTTCGCTTACACGCAGCGGTTCCGCAACCGAGACATATACAGGAGAGACAAAAAGGGCTTTTTGTCTCGGTTCTGAACCGAAGCGAAAAGGGGTCGAATTTTGCCTCGGATCAAATCCGAAATCGAGGCAGTAGATGGGGGTGTGCTTTTGTCTCGGTTCAAATCCAACCGAGGCAATAAAGGGTTTTTTTCTTTTTTACAACACATTCAGCTGTGACAGTGCAAGCTCCAAGCAGAACCGCCCAAACCGAAAGCTCTTGTATCAACTCAGCCCTTCCAAGAAGATCAATCATGCAAATGTAATGCATTATAATGTTTCATCCAGTGTCTAAGACACCTCGAACAGTCTGCTTTCTTTTTTTGTAAGAATCATATAACCATATTGACAAGTGTAAACTGGCTAAAGAAAAAAGCAATAAAAGAAAAAGTAGGTAAAAATTACAATCTAAACTCAAAAACAATGTGACCAATTCAGTGAATCATCAACACTCATTATTCAGGCAAATAAACATAACTAACAGTTACAATGCAGAGCAAAGCAATAAACTCTCATCAAAGGCTCACACTCTAGGCAGGAGGAGGTGGCTGAACCATGTAATCAACAACGACCACACTGTCGATCTTATCTCTAACTCCTACTGATAATTCACCAACTCCTTATTTGAATCCACGACCTCCAACTTGGCCGGTCCCGCAAAAACCGCGAGCGAAGAAATCGTGAAACCCTTGGCTCTCCCTGGCGAAAAATTCTCCCCAAAACTGAACTCACTAATCTGCTTAAAATTCTCTAGAATTCCTCTAACCACACCCAAAACCTCGTCTCCAACTGCGCCCTCCTTCAATTTCAAGAAGTTGACACAAAGTGCCGAGCCTGGCGGCGGAACGAGGTTGCTAAGGCCATCGGTGACCCAATCGACAACCATGATGTCGTCGAGGAATAGGTTTTCCTTGATGACGGTGACAGATAAAAGGAAGATCAACTCTTCATCAAATCAAAATACCTCATCCCATGATCAACCAAACAGGAACGATTATACAAAAACACTTCACCTGTTATTTCATTCAGAAATAGGGAACAAGCATAAACTCCATCTAGAAACCTAGAAAATAAAAAAAAAAAAGATAAAACCTATTTGATTGTCGCGCCCTTGCACCCTTGTGCCTCCGCCGCAAGAACAATAACAGCCACCGTGCCCTTGCGCCCCCGTCGTGTCTCCGTCGCGCCTCTGTTGCGCCATTGATGATCCCTCCAGGTTGGTTGTCCGTTCGAGACGAAGAACCCTAGGCTGGGTTGGATGCACGAAGAACCCTCTCGGCCACGGCGACGCGGATCCAAACAAAGAGAAGGGTTCATGTGTCGAATAGAGAAGAGGAAGAGGATAAACACCCCCTTTCGCGACTCAGAACAGAGAAGAGGAAGAGGATTATATTTTGGTTCAAGGAAAAAAGAAGAAACAAGGGCTGAACCCTTAATTTGAGTTATTTGATACAAGCCAACTTGAAATCAGAAAATAAAAAAAAATAAAACCTCTTTGTGCTGTGGTGGAAGAAGAAAGCCCTCTTCTCGAGGAGGAAGAAAGCCCTCTTCTCGAGGAGGAAGAAAAAGCATTGTTCGCGTGAGTAGATTATTTTGGTAGGGCAAGCTTTTATGCCTCGGTTGACTTGGAAACTGAGGTAGTAAGCCATTTTTGAAAAAGGCGTCAGGTGCACAGTCTGACTTTGTAGAAAGGACATGTGCTCTCAGTAGGGTTATATGCCTCGGTTGTTTACTTAACCGAGACAATATACCCCTTATGCTTCAATTCCCCTTTAACCGAGTCATATAAAAATTGAAGCGTATATAGCGCCTTAATAAGCTCTTTTTTACTAGTGCTTTATAGCTCGGTTGCTGACTTAACCGAGGCAGTATAGCTATCATGCTTCGGTTCCTTTTGAGTTGAGGCATATAACTTTCCTAAAACTAGGAAAATGCCACATGCCACCGCGCTTTTATACGCTCCGGTTTTAGTAAAACCGAGGCGTATATAGCATGTTAAAAAAACTGTTTTTTACTAGTGGCAATCTAAAAAGAAATCCAAAACTTATAAACTATCAAAAGTAAGCTAATTAATGTATTCAACAACAATAAAATTTTTCCAAAATATTAAACTATTGTATCAGAGTATAATTATGTTATAAGTATCAAAGTGAAACATAATTATTAGATATTCATCAGAGTATATCATTTAGTCATTGTTAGAGTATAATATTAACAGAACATATGAAATATATATTATCATACGATTATCATTTTGTAAAAGATATGACTTCCTCTTGTCATATTTATGCATGATATGTAACAACAAGAAGAACTATATTATGAAAGCGTAAATACTTTTTATATAACATAGCATGAATAACTTATAAGAGCATTGATAAGTGTTTATATGTATAAGAGCAATAGGAATATTCATATATGTGTCAGAGCATAAATATAAAGATAGATATTCATACATGTATCAAAGTATATATATCAGATTTAAGGCTTATAGACGATTGACACCAAATAAACAAAATAAATTTCTATATTTTAACAAATAAACATTACAATAGTTTTCAATGCAATATCCTATTATTACATTTCTCCCCCTGAATGTAATATCTATCAAGTTTAGCATTCTCACCCCTTGTTTGATAAACATCGAAAAGGGAGGAGAGAAAAGGCATCATGGAACGACTAAAGAATGATAAACATTGTTTCCTCAAGTCTAGTTATGAACTGATCCAAGAGGTTATCTTTGATACCAACTGAAATCACAAGTAAAGTTAAAAAGGGGGGGGGGAAGGGGTGGGAGGGACTTCAATAGAGTTTAAAACTTTTTGCAATGAAGTGCTACATGCTATTTGCAGGGGTTAGATGATCTACAGATAGTGTTGAACACTTAATGATTTGTATAAAGCGTTTAGAAAAATTATTAAACAGGTTGAGCAAAGAAAAATGCATTGAGGAAATATTCGTAGAATGTCTTTTTATCTCTTAACGTTCTTCTGAATCAATGTAGAACTTTAAAATAAAGCTTTATGATGGAAGCAGCTCCACTCTTCAAGATTGAGCAGCTTCACGATCCAGATGTAGGCAGTAGAATGAAGATAATGATGAGTGTTCTGATGTGCACTAGGTGTTTGATGAAATGTTTTTTGGAGGATGGAAGTGTGTGTGTTGAATCTCAAGCTCAGAAACCTTCCAAAGGGGAAGGAAGCTAGAGGAAAACGTGCTAAAGAGGCACAAACATTGAACTCGAAGCAAGGAGTGGCTGGACAAATCTCAGCAGCATTTCACTAAGGCATTCGAGTTCCCTTTACAAAGAGGAGAGTCTCTCTTTTACAGAGGAAGAGATGACTTTGAAGTGCCTAGCAAGCTATGAAAATGGCAAGATACATGTGCTGGAAATGCTACCAAGCATGAGTTACACGTTCCATACGAGGAAGACATTAAAAATGTGCTTTAAAACTTGGACGTTGGTGAGTGGCAACGGTTGTTTGGTTGGCTTCCTTTCTTTGCCTCCTTTTGCTTCCCTTTGCTCACCAAGCTTCTTTGGCTGATTGGCTATGGTTTCCAAGCCTTATTTTTGTCCAACAAAACAATGTAAATGTATTTAGTAAAGTAAACATTCTAAGACTTAGAAAGAAAAGATCTTTTTGTTTAAAAGTCCTTATTCAACTTCCCTTTCTTAGTCTTAGTGTTAAGTTGATACTTCTTTGGATGGGAAGTCCCTAAAGGGGTTGCCATCACTTTGTCCTTTATGATTTGCACAGATAAAGAAACAACACAATAGACAAATAAATAATATTCATACATGCATTTAAAATGTTAGACGTTCATTATAGCTTATTACGTGTACTACGTTGTTTATGCGTAATTTATTTGGAGTAATGTATGCGTTTAGGAATTGTTAACACATGTATAGCATTTAATGTGCTATCATAGACGGTTCTTTTTAATAGACACTATTTCGTTAGACACTATAGTTAAAATTCAAAATAAGGGTTGTTAGACGATCTTGTCTTAACATATACATTGAAACTCATAAAAGAAAGGATGGATCATTTGTAAATGATGCGATAAAGGTTATAACTGTTAGTTATACTATAATATGATATGTTCAAACATTTTCCTTCAATATTTAGAGTTTTAACTACAAATTGTTATATGCCTATAGAAACAAATGAAAGTGGGTTTGACTCAAAGCACTATTAATGAATCAAAAGTTTTCCCTAATGATGTTGGTGGTAGAGTGTTAGGCCTAAAGCATTCTAGAAGAGTGTGTTGCATGGGTTTGGGAGTAGCTCCTACTAACTCATTTAAAAATACAATACTTCGACTTTTTGATTTAAGGTTTGCTTCATCTAGCACTGCCACATCATCAACATGTTCTAGTTAGTTGCAATAGAAGTACACCAATTTTGAATCCCAGTTCAAACCACCTTAGGTGGACTAAAAGCATACATGATAATGAAGAAAGGAAAGATTCCTCATGAATTGATCGTCTTCTTTGATCATCAACCACAAGTAAGTTACTAAACAAGTTGAAACACAATTCTTGATATACTCTAATTATAGGCAGTCCTTTCTAGTCTTAAGTGTGATATCAAATACTTCATCTATATTGTTGTGGTCCTTAAAATCTATTGTTAATAGTTGGTTTTCTGGTGTTATATAAATTCTAGAAAAATTGGGCAAGTGTTGATGTGAATGAGTGCCTCATACACTTGAAATTACACTTATGTCATTGATGATTTCACTTTAATATTTATCTTTTCTCATTTTAGCAAGCTAGTGATGCAAATAAGTCCAAGTCTCCTTTGGGTACAAGAGGATAATCTTGCTAGCAACATTTAGGAAGTTTATGATGTATTTTAGGATGAAACTATATTTAATCTATTATAGATTTTGCATAATTATGGATTAAGTTGTAATTATGTTTCCATTTAAATTAGTTTTATGTTACTATGGTGATTTGGAGAATAAAATGATATATATTTGAGCACTTTGGTAGAAGAAGTTTGTCATGTATTTTGTTACCACTAAAATATTTTAAACTTGTCACAAATAAATATTGTTGACACAAAAATATAAGCACCTCAAATAGTGACATACATTGTCATGTAAAAATAACACAAGCAAAATAAAGTAGTAAACATACAAACTAAATAATACAAACGATAGAGGTTAGAACCTTTATAGTGTAATTGTAACATCCCAAAAATATAGTATAATACTATATAAAAGAGTCATCACAGATATGATATGGTAAACAACTATTGACTATCATATAAAGTAAAGACTTACAGTCATCCAAAATAACTATAAACTTTAAAGTTTATATGCAAACATCATAAACCAAAACTATTTACAAATTTAAATACTACTCCGAAGAAACTACACTGCAACATTGCCTCCATCAAGAGCCTGCTCTAGAGACACCTCATCTCCCTTTGCTCACACCCACAGGATGATCATAGCGAAGAGATAAAACAAAGAAAACATACAACCCAATCACATATAAAAGGGTAAGCTAGAAGAAAACAAATAATGATATATGAGTACATATTAAACATTCTTGTAAGATACACACACAACACATTAAACCAACTAAACTTTATATATGACCACCCCTTGACTTGACCATCGATTAGTATGAATATGTAGCTATAACAGTTTGTGCACTTGTTGTGGTGAAACAACTAGCCCACCCCAAGCTACCACACAATGTTAGTCCGTTATCACTCACCTTATGCTAAGATAAAGCCCCTAGGTTAGGACCTCCTACTATTCTCACGACATGCCTCACCCTTCTCTACTTGAGATTAGGTGACCATTAGAATGTCAAGATGAAATCCAAGACTGAGCTTTCCATATTCATACTTACAACCTTTGAAATCACCACTGAGAAATTCCTCCTTGGAATTCTCTTCCACACCATTTGAAACCATGATTGAAACCATATACTTTTACTTTGATATTCATATAAACTCATACACAATCATACATCATCCACAATTGAATCAATACATATCTCAAACCAATCAAAACAAAGAAGAAAAAAGTACATCACAACTTGGACCAGTTGCTTAGCGCATACACTTGTTGATCGACCATAGAGTTCTCTCGCACAACGACCCAGCTCGTTGTGCGAATTCCACAAACAGTACCTCCAGACTCCAAACCACTTGATTAGCAACCCAGCTCGCTGAGCTA